TGGCTTTAGAGACACGGACGCTCTTTCCTTCTGCGGCACTTTGACCAGAGTCTCAGTAAAGCCTCTGCCTGCTATTGCTCTATAAAGCAGACCACACCTGACGCTACCTGTACCATACCACATCAGATGAAACCAGCACTGCTACTGTCTTCAGGTTGACACTCAGTGTATTTGACATACTTAAGCATTAGACCAAAGAAAAATATTTTAAAAACCAGCACCACACTGCCTTTCTCAGATGGAGGCACTGCTATAGATTATGATAAGCAATTCCCTTCCCTGCTCATTAAAGAAGCTGTAGGATATTTGCTGTCCAAGCATGTAGGTAAAATTCATCTTACATCAGAAGGTCCCAAAGCAGAAAAGCTGCAGTTCTGCAGTGATAGGAAAGAGATAGCAAAGACAATTATCTGCCCTGCTTAGCATGGGGGAGCTGACAGAGCTAGGCTGGTACCAGCAGGGTCTCCAGTTAGGTGGGTCCAGCTGCAGCTCTGGCCCATGCCAGCTGCTGCAGCTACAGCATTGCTTTAATGCATCCACCTCAGTATTTTTGTAGCAGTCAGATTACTTCGATACTTGTCTTTTCTGGAAGGAAGCTCAGGATGGATGGATGTTTCATCACGGTCAGGAGACAGAAGAGCGCTGCCCAGATGCTGGCTGGCAAATGGCAAAGCACCCACAGTGCCTAGCAGCCCCATGCAGTGGCATCCCTCCGCTGTGCAAACAGAAGAGTATTGCTCCAAAGGGCAAATTGGAAGTGCATACAAAGAAAAGCAGAGGATGTAGCAACACTAAAGGACTTTTTTATTTCAGCGTATTTACTATAGTAGGCTTCAGGCTGCTTTATACAAAATAATTAAGGCTTTTAGAAGAAGCACAAAACTGAAGCTGACAAGGGAAATATCGCAGAAGCTTTAGAAGCAATTCATTTTTCATCTGAGACAGTCAAAACTCACTTCATTGTAGAGTACAGGTTCAGGTCAGTCAGATCTAGTCTGACGACAAATCACACAGCTGCTTTTCTATAATTGTGGCTTTATATGATTGACCGGATTAAGAAGGATGTAGCCATGGCCAGCAAGCAGGCACTGCTGGCATGGAGCCACTGGTGCAAAGGCCCACCCCACCAGCAGCTTGCGTGGAGGCTTGTCCCATACTGCTCCCCTTTCCCAGTGAGCAGGCCACCTGTTAATATTTCCTAAAGATTTTTAACTTACATAGTTTCAGCTATGAAAGTGCCTTTTTTTGGTAACATTTATAATTATAACACTAGCTGGATCTCTCTTTTACAGGATCCTTCTATTACATTCCCCTTCTTTGTTTGCCATAATGCAGTTATAGTTTATATCATAATACATATAAGTCTCCAAACTCACCCTTTCTTAAGAGCTCACTGCTGCAGTGCCAGGGGCTCAGGCATTGGAGCAGCAAGAGGTCCCCAGGGGCACCTCGTGACCATTTAGGTAGCCTTCTGATCACCGCCCTGCCCTTTACAGCCACAGGAGAAAGACAAGATCAAGTCGCCACAAAGACCGAATCAATTCCTGTCGGGATGGGTCGAGCATTAGAAGGTTTTAAATACTGTTAAAAGCTTGCATTTCATCAAAGTGCCATCAGCCAAGTATTTTCATAAGCACTACAGCTATCCAGTTTCTGCTGCTGGGGGTCAAGAAACTGTTACTAACAAATGCTGCTAATAACCACTCAAAGAATTAAGTTCGGCTATATTTTCTCTGCTATTCATGACAGGCCACACTCAAACAGACACATGTAGACCTTCACTAGAAGAAAGATCTGCTGTCCCAACATGAGCAAACTTGCTTTAACAACAGCAAACCTGGCTAACCCACACAGTGTCAACCAGTCTGATCTACACTGCTCATATGGATGGGCTGACTCACTGGCGGCAGTGGAGTTTTACCACATGACTCAGAAGATGATTAAATAAATCACACACACAGAGATTGTGGGAAGTATGCCCCAGTCTATCCAAAAGCAAAAAATGCCTAATTTCAGCAGCAGGAGCATTAAGCAGAGACTTACATGTGCTGTGATGTTTTTCTTGAAGCCAACAGCAATAGCGGGAAGGAAGTTGGAAGGAATAGCACTGCACAGCATACTTTATAAAAACAGAATTGGTTTTCTCCAAAATACTGGGACAAATTTGCATCCCTCCACTCAGGCAAATCTACCAAAATTCGAGCTGAACAGCCCCTGGAAGTATCGCCTCCCCAACACCAGGCATAGTTACTGCAGCCATTGGGCCAGTCCTTCCTCTCCGGAACAAGCGTAGCATGGTAGCCAGAAACAGAAGGAACTGACATCTTGACATCAAGGACTTCAAACCCCAACCAGACCATCTGGGCTTTAAGCCAAAAGATTTGAACGCTGCAGCCACCTTCCTTAGACAGAAGCTCCTCCCCAGGTGAGCTCAGCCTGCCCAGCACAGTGGTGCTCTCCTCGCTTGGCCCCTTGTCACCTTCCTCCTCCATCACATCAGTGGTGTCACCCCAACTGTAACCTATTCTGCAAGCGTCAGTACTGCCTGTGTCAAGTAGCCTTTCACTTCCAACATTTACAATTCATTTTCATGAATCTTCTCAAGTGCCACACAATAACGTGACACTAAAAAAGCATCAGTTCCTTCTTGTGTCTTCTTCTACTTAGCTTTTTCTCATCGTCAGGAGATTTATGAATTTAATCTCCGTTTTATAGAACTTATCACTTTTAACAACTAGAAGAAGAAAATGCTAAATTGTTTTTATTGCTGTTAGATGTTCAAAGACATCATGCTATATCCTGTCATTTACATTTCACATTAAAAGTGAAATATGTTGGGAATGCGCAAGTATTTGTTTTAATTTGACCCATCTGTTAAATGAAACACAAAGAGGACTTCTAAATCACTATATTTAAATTCAGCGATTTGTAAACAATTTATATGTTCATTTCTTCTGGGTTAAAACTGCCCTAAAGCACCACTCTTATGAAATCTCCAAATTAAATTGCTTTGCATTGTTCTCAGGGATGCAGGCCACAGTTTCTTCCTCCTCAGTTTATTAATTTATTTCCCAAAGCAAGTAAATTTAAGAGTCTTGCCACTGAAATAACTTTGGGGAATTCACAGAACTATCTACTAGCTCCAAAAAGCTGAGAGCACAGAGAAAGTGTCAGATACTGGAGGCAAATTCCCTTAAGATAAAGGACAAGTCAATTGCTTTCATTTAGCTTTTTCACACTTCTGCAAGCAGCACTAGGTCTGCCCTATTCCACACTAGACCATCATCAAGCAGGAACAATAATCAAGAAGAGGAAGAAAAGCTGTGGCAATTTACCTTCACCTCTTAACCCAGCTAGAACTTGCTACAGGATCTGGATCTTAGACTGGACTTTAATGTAGCTGTGTATGACAATTTACAAGGGGAGAGAGATGCACAGCCATTTAAAGATCCCCCAGTAGCACTTTACTTAAAGAGCAGAGCCTTATCTCTTTTCCTGCTTTGTGCAACGTGCTGTATTTACCATTAGCTGCTAAGCCTCTACCCCAGAAATCAGTGTTTTCAGAGGAGTAAGGATACCTTTTAATCACCCAGATATGGGGCCTCTCATCCCAGACACCTTGCGCAAGGAGATGATTTCTTCATTAGATGTAGACTCCAAGCATGAGGAAGAGCTCTGTACAGCCTGGAGTGTCACATCTCGCATTCGAAGCCTCTGTCACCCTCTCTGCTGGTACAGTGTACAACTCCACCCTTTCCCCAAACCTTTAAGTCATATGCCTTGTCTGTAGGACAGGTTTTCGCCATGTTCCCAACTCTAACACAGGTGCAGCATAAAAGGAGCTGAGTGTGCCCAGGGCTCCTTATCCTGCAGCTTCATATCCCAGCCATGGACCACGACAAAAGCAGGACTAGATGAGGAAGCAGAGAATACTCAGGAAAAGGAAAAAAAGAGGGGAAAAAAAAGTCCTAAAAAAGCTAATCTACTTAAAGCTGTAGAAGTGGACAGACTCACAACTTTCAATTCCCCCTCTGCAATATCAAGCAGAGCACCAAAAAGCAACACAGAAATACAGTGTCTACTGTGGATTCATACTGTGGACGGTTCATTTATTATAGCCAGTATTGTATTAAACAACCCAACAAAACAAGAGCTAGCAGTAATGCAGCCAGGGCATGATTAAGGGTGCCTCTAAGAGCATCAACAAACATGGAGCCTACATGGATCACAGCCCGGAAAGATTCCAAGTTTGTGAAATGACAGCTTGATTAGTTTTTGTCTGACAAATGTGGTGAGGGAGATCAGAATCAAACATAATTCCAAGGTTACAGGCCTTCAAATAAAAACAGGAAAAAACATTCAGAAAGGGCAACAGCAATTTGCAAGACCAAATCAACTCTCCAGCCCAGCTTTCTTAATGTTCAGATGCAATACAGCCACAACTGCTGAAGCTCAATAAGGACCCTCCAGGGAGCATCCTGAATTAACAAGGACATGCCGTCGGGGTGGGACAAGCTTCAGATCATGCAAGACAGTCTTCTCTCCCATCAAAAGGCTTACTAAATACGCACGTTTGTGATTTAGTGGGAAAACATGCGAGTGGAGCTACTTTATATCCAGGCAACCACTGCCTGTTAATACTGCAAAGGTGAAGCAGCAACACAGTATTACCCATAGTGCTGCATATACCCTGTTACGCATATTGCTGCATGTAGGCATGCAGTATAATCAAACAACATAAATAGCAGACACTAAATGGACTTTTCCTTCTTCTTCCCTCCCACCTGTTCTAATGACAAAAAGAGTGAGTCAAAAACATGCAGGGAAACCAGGTCTCTTAAAATATGCCATTGCAACCAAAAGTATCCCTCTCCTCCATTTTGCACTAGTTTCAAACCACACATCCCCCATTTTGGTGAGATAAAATGGAGGCTTCTGGGTTTCCTTCCCCTGTGGAAAGGGGGCTGGAGAGGGGAGGCAGAGTAGGACAGGGGTCTTACCCAGGAATAAAATGATCTGTCTCCTGGAGCTCCTGCCCTCTGAGCTCTCACTTTTTCTTAGGTACTGCTCCTGATGTCTTAGTCCACCCTTCACTGCCACAGTTCCTTCGTTGCGGATCATCAGGGTTTTCATCATGCTGCGGCACATGAAGGTGACAGATCCCAGCACTATGATGTACACAGCAAAGGCACTGAAGATGCTGGCCTGAAAGACAGACCACTTGGAGGAGAGGCTGGTACAGATGGTCATATTGTGCTTCAGCTCAGGGAGGTGGTGCCTGGGCATAGACTTGTCACAGGCAATCGTACCTTGGTAGCCCTCAATGGTTTCCAGGGGATATTCTGTGCCCATGGCAAAGAGCAGGGGCAGAGCCACGATGACAGATGTCCCCCAGACAAAGGCAATCAGCAGCTTCACCGTGCGGGGTCCAGAGACAGCCTTGAACTTGAAGGGGTGGCAGATAGCCACATACCTCTCAAAGCTGAGGGTGGCAACATGCAGCACAGTGGCATAACTGCAGGCTTCAAAGAGGAAGTAGTAGAGCTTGCAAGCTATGTTGCCATTAGGAGTGGAAAAGGGGCTCCAGATGGCACTGAAGAACTCCATGGGCATGCCCAGCAGGATGACCAGCAGGTCAGAGCAGGCCAGGCTCACCATGTGGTCTGTGACCTCCTTCTGCAGGTAGCCTTTCTTCTGCAGGATCCTGGTGGCCTTGATGGTGATGCTGTTGCCCAAGATGCCCGCAATGAAGATGCAGACATACACTGAGGCCAAAGTGATCTTGATCCAAGGAGACACCTCAAACTCAGGGACGTGGCTGTGGTCAATGAGATGAGAACAGTCTGAAGGGGATGTCTGTCCTGCCATGAGCAGCCCCTGGGGGGAGAAGGAGGGAGGAAGAGCCTTCCTGCCCTCTCTGACGTTCAAATTCACAACAAATAGATCCTTTTTCGCTTTGCCCCTCTCACCGAGACGCACAGGTCAGAGCAGCCAAGTACAACGAACGTGTCTCAAGTAGCTACACCTGTGGGTTTTGTTAGCAGCAGCTACTGAGTCAATAAGCCGAGCAGGAAAGCGTTTCAGCTCTTACCTATCTTTATGGCAAACACCTCTTGCTCCTTTTGGATTTTCCCCCTCCTTTCTCTACTGAGTGAAGCTGCCGTTCTCCAGCTCTTTGCGGTGTGAACTGCTCTCCTTTCAACGCTTGCCTCTTCCTCTGCAAGGAAAGGTAGCTTTTGGTCCCGAACCCAGCAGGAGGAAGTCAGAGTTTCTGTGTGGTTATAGCTGCTCTGTTAACCATTAACCTAAATCTTGGCTATCCCTCAGCACTGGCAGCAAAGCAGGTTTAGAAAAAAAAAAAAACACACACACCACCAAGCCACTCATGTCTGACATTCACTTCCTGTAACAGGAGCTCCTTCTCAGGGACAAAAAGGTGTTTCTCCTAAAGCTGTTAGGTTGGTGCGGTCAGGCTGAATACGTGAACAGGTGCTGAAGAGAAAGTATCTGCTCATGAGTTTAACATTAACTGGGCTTCAGACTTTACTTCTATATGCGCCAATGTCAACATGCATCACTACTTTACATTTCCTTTAATGAAGACCTCTGCATCTGCCGCAGCAGTGTTTGTTACGCAGCTTGTGCAGCCACGGACTGATTTACATCAACAGGAGGTTCTGGTTTTTAGTTGCTGCTGATGAACTGGTAGCTTCTTAAAATAACTGTTTAGAATTTAAAGAGTCTCCTCAGAAGTTATAAGCTGAACTCTAGATTTAGGCACATCGATTGACTCCCTTTAAATTTCCATCTTCTCATGTTAGATAACAAAAATAATGAAGTTAGTAATCCCCATCATGCTCATGTTTTCAAATATGAAGTTAGTAATCCCCATCATGCTTATGCTTTCAATAATCCAGAGTAGCAGGGGATGTAAATGTGCTTCCCTCTCTCGTGTCTCACCCCAGGGGGAATGAATTTAATGCACTCTTTAGTTTAGTTTCAAACCATAGCACTGAAGGCTCCCAAGGTAACCCCTGGAAACATTTAATTAGAGGGTGTGTATATGGATTAGGAAACCTTTAAATTACAATGCAAAACGGCAGAACGGCTTTTGCAGCTATAATCAAGAGAGAGGCCCAGTACAGTGATCTGCTCCAATACCAAATCTAAGAACAGGGGGTTCACAAAGTGATTTTTATTAACTAGACAAGCTCATGTGACACTTTCAGCTCATGATAAAAGAGAAACATTAGAAAGCTGTTATTAAGCAGTCTCCTCACATTCAGTGGTTATCACTGTACCTCAGCAGCCCAAGTATATCATGAACAAAAGATGCCCAAAACAGGATAATCAGCACCTGTGTCTAGGCATTATTTATGCATTCCTGTTTCAGAAAAATCACCTCAAACCTTGCAGAACTTCAGGCCCTGTAGTCCCAGTCATCTTTCCTTATGTTTGATAATTCACATTTGTTCTGCTCAGACAAGCTTTCTATTATTACCCAATTTCTTTCACTTAATTTTACTTTATAAAAGTGTGAACAAAGATTACATATGCATGACTGAATTGTGGAAATGAAGCTAATTAAAATTTGCTGCTTACCATCAAAAGAGAAAAAGGGAGAGAGAGAGCAGGAGAGAAGGCCCAATAGGATTAGATCTCCCCCTTTTTTCCACACCAATTATAAAATGCAGAACACAATTTTGCAGTTTTCAATATTATCTTTAGAACATACACAAAGTTTATTAACTTTCTAATAAAGAGCTGGTGCCACAAAGGGGATAGAAAGGAAAGAGACAATTGTGGATACTCATAGACTGAGGCCACTTAAAAGAAAAAAATCTTACATAGGTTACTGGACTAAATAAACCAGCAGTGAGTATTTCAGAGATAGGTATAAAAACCCTATCATGGATGATTACAAAAAAATATATCTTCCTGGAGGGAGACATTTCTCCCCAGCTAAATGTGCTTAATGCCTTTTTGCAGCATGGAGGTTGAGAGACCATAGTCTTTACCCTGCTAGATATGATACCAGTTTAAAAAGTTATGATTTGTGTAATGGTCTAATTTTAGGGATTTTGTTAAGTTTTCATCGATATCTTGTAGCATGAGTACCACAAGTTAATTTTTCTGTTGTTGCCTTTCCCTTAGCAGTTTTGAAAGTGAATGTGGCCTGTGTAGTTGTACCTGGGAGAATGCTCCAGGGAGTCCCTCCTGACCCAGTTTGTTGCAATTGCACACAATGACTTCAGCCCTAGCACCGAAGAGGAGTCAAGAACATTAAGGATAGAGATCACTCTATTTCTTTCTAAAATCAGCACACATGGATGCTGCACGCTGCAGCCAATCACTTGTCAGCACCTTGGTAAGAAAACAGAGCATCCTGTAGATGCAGATTACATGGGCACAGGGTGGCAGCTGGCTCTGCGTGCCACTCGCTCGGCCACAGTCATGCTCACCTGAACGTTTGGGGCGATGCGGTTGTTGGTAAGAGATGACAAGTGGTGGGAGCCAGAGAAACACTGAGATGGAGCATGGATTGTTGTTGCTGTAGTATATAAGGTGATTTTTCACTTTCAGAGATAATAAAGCTGCTGTGATCATCCGCCCCAGTTTGTTATCCAGGAGAGTTTACAAGGTTTCCTGAAGGGCTGTTTGCTTTCTTGCCTGGTCCTTGGATAACGCCCTGGTGAAAGGCATTTTGGGGTAGAAGAAAGCAGAGCTTTATCATCCATCCTTTCGGCCATTGCGCAAAGCTCACCTTTTGCACTTTGTATAGTGCACTATCTAGCACCCCACCATGCCTGTGGATCCCTGGCTGAGCCGAAGGGCAGGAGAGGCTGTCCTTGGATAACGCCCTGGTGAAAGGCATTTTGGGGTAGAAGAAAGAGCTTTTTTGGGGTAGAGCTTTATCATCCATCCTTTCGGCCATTGCGCAAAGCTCACCTTTTGCACTTTGTATAGTGCACTATCTAGCACCCCACCATGCCTGTGGATCCCTGGCTGAGCCGAAGGGCAGGAGAGGCTGCAAGGCACTCAGTCCTTGGCCAGCTGCCATCTCATTAAAAGCCACGTCCCCCAAACTCCTGATGAGATTGGGCCCCCAAAACTGGCAGATAGCGCAAGTTGCAGCTGGAATGAATCTTGGAATCATTTGACAGATGCTGTTGCATTTTAGGTAAATGGATTGTAGATTAACCTTTTCCAGTGTGCAGGGGTATCATAATGCTGCTGCTTTACAAATGCACTTTCTTCCCCAGCTGCATGGTGCCAGCACGTGGATTGGCTCGGGGTGCCCAATCTGCAGAATCGCTCTATGGTTATTTCTCAATTACCATATAGCATGGGAGCCAGGGTGCTCTGATTGGCAGACAGGCATTGCCACACTTGCGTTATCTCTGCAGAATTATTTCTTGATAGCCGTGTTGTGAATATGCAAATCCGCCCTAATTGGCTACGCTAATCACACAGCTCTGACTGGTTTCTGTTCTCAAACTGTTCAAGCTACTTGACAGGAACAAAGAAAATACCTCAGTTTCTTGCTTCCTTTAGCTGAAAAAGTCTAAAACTTAAATGAAAAAGGAGAGCTATCTCAAAAGCAAAGAAAATGAGGCTGTAAAAAGGATTAACTTTTTTTTTTCAGATAAAAAGACATTGACTTTTTTTTCTTGCCAGTCTTTACCGTTCTCCATCTCAACAAACCTCTTGTCCCTAGAATAGCTGTGATACCTTTGTCTTGCCAGTATTTGTTTAGAGAAAGCGAATCCTAGGCTTGTTCAATTCTCTTTGAAACACAAGGTAAACAAAATGAGATTGCTGTTCTGCAGAAGGCAGCTACTCTGATCTGCACAGGCAGAGGGGAATGTGCTGTGGGAATAAAACGAAGAAACAACACAGACAAAAGTGAAGCGTCCAAATTATTTTAAAAGTTTTAAGAAATCAATTTGCGTGAGACAGCTTATGTTGGCTTTTAAAATTATTTTCATTAATAATTGAAATAATTAAAGACTGCATTCAGATAACTTAAAGTTTCTTTCTGTTTTCTGAAATCTAACAAGCCTCTTTACTGTTAAGAACCCTTTGTATTCTTCTGGTGAGTTATTCTTGAATTATATTTTCTTTTCTATATTTTCACAAATAAATTTGTGACATTTATTTCTTATTAGTTTCCCTAAGAGTTTTGGGACAACACAGTCTAACAACCATCATGCTGTTAACTGTTTGGCTCCTTTTCTTCTTGCAACATGAGAGACTGGGTTATGCAATCTGGGTAATGGATGTGCTGTGTAACCTGCTAATGAATTCTAATCTAATTAGATTACCTCTAGGAAGGTGATATATGGAAAGCTGCCATCTTTTATTCAAGGATGTGCAGTGTTACCTGCTGTAATGCCATCCTCTTGGAGTATCATACTGTGAGTGTTTGCTTATCCGGAGGATAGTGAAGGGGACTTCCAGGATACACAGTAAAAAGCAATCTCTGCTCCAAATCATTCCATCTAAATAAATAGATCAAAGCACTTCACTAGTTTCACTGTATTTTACAAACTGGCAAGCAACATGAGAAGAAACCGGGGCCAGTGAGACTAAATGGTTTATCCAAGATACAGAAAATCTGTGGAACACCTGAGCCTCCTCACCAATACACTGGATTTCAGCTAACTTCCTCACATGACCTGCAGCATACAAACTACGGAGCAAGAAATGCATTTGCTCAGCTCTTCACTAGTTGCTCTGGTGGTTTTAACTGATGTTAATTCATAATAATTAAAACACATTTAAAGCACCGAAACACATAATGATTGTAATTGGTCCTATCTGGAATTTGTTGAACAAGACACCACCTGCTTTCTGATCACCTTGGT